AAACAAACAAAAAAAAAAAGAAAAAGAAAGAAAAAAGACAAACAAAACCAAACCAAAAAAGAAATCAATCAAGTAAAAAGCCTCAAACCAACCAAGCAACAACAAAAAAAACCCAAAAAAAACCCCACAAAAAACCAGAGGGAAACGCCTGTATTTTTAACAGAAGAAAACAAAGTTTGTAAACAGGGTTTCTTTCTTAAGGAGTTGAGAAATCAAGTAAAAAACCTCAAACCAACCAAGCACCAACAACAAAAAAAAAAAAAAAAACCCACAAAAAACCAGAGGGAAACACCTGTATTTGTAACAGAAGAAAACAAAGTTTGTAAACAGGGTTTCTTTCTTAAGGAGTTGAGAAAAAAAGTTAGTTTTCTGTACCAGTGTTACTTCAAGTACTTCAAGGTAGTTCCTTGGAAAGGAAGGGTGGTCCAGAGGCTCGTGTGGTGTATGAGATCAGTGTCTTTAGGCCTGTGGGCCAGCACATTTGACTCTTTAAAATGTTTTCCTTTATTTCTAGTACATTTTTATATTCTTACACTGGGATTTCACCACTGAGTACAGATTGTAGTTTTTGCAGTGATCTGTCTCTTAGACACCCTGTTGCAGATAGAGGATTGTCCCACTGGCAAGTCATCAAGTAGAATAAATGTAAAGGAGAAATTAAACTATATCTCAAAGTAAATAGACAAGTCACAGGTAGCTGCTTGGAAGGAAGTTGTGTATAATATAAGATCTGGAGAAAAATCTTAATGTTGATTGCATTTTCTATGCACTACCTAAACAAAACACTAAAAAACCTATATTTTTTTTCTTGGTTTTTAAAAAAAATTTAATTACTCTTAAAAAAACCCAAACAAATGGAAAAATGCCCTAATAGTGCAGGCATAATTTTATTAAAAGGTTCATGCAGCTAAGCAGATTTAGCTCTGCTTTTCTATAAATACAGGGAAATGTTTAACCCCTATTGTATGGCCACAAAGGCTGTGCTGATCACACAGAAGCTCGGGAGGGCCGAGGACAAAGCGAGGGCGGCTGGAAACGGCCCCTCTTGTGCGTGCCCCTGCACACAGAGCAGCGGCAGCAGGGCTTGGCACCAGAGTTTTGTCAAGCTTGCAACATGAAGGGGAGCAAGGTACAAATTCTTACCACTTACTAAAAGGAAGAAAGGAAAAAGTAACCCGCCAGAAAAGGAAGAGGACCATGACAGCTGTATAGCTACGGGCACAAGGTAATGGCTGAGCTCCCTTCTCTAGCCTGGTACTCCCCACTCACTCAAATATTTGAGATTTATGTGCCTTAGTGTTAGTTGGTTTGATTTATTGGAATGAAGTATCATGAAAAAATTCAGGTTATAACTTTGAACAGGAAAATAAACCTATGCTATGTAACTTACTGAAACATTTAACTTTGATTAATAGTCTAGGAAGTGACAGAATGAGGTTAGCATTTGTATCCATGGAGGAAGGGCGTGACTTTGCAAAATATTTAATATCAGAAGAAATCTGTATTTTGTTTTGATTAGTATAATATGGGTAAAATTTGGGCATTGTCCTTATGGATGCTAATATAATCTAGGCTGGACTACACACTCTAGGAAGTGTCTTCATGAGGCTGTATCAGAAGTGGAAAAAAAACCAAATAACCAAAACAACTAAAAGCTACTTTTATTGTATTTCCAGTGTATTTTTTTTTCCATTATTACTTTGGCAGAATGGGGGTTGGGCACACCCAGAAATAAGATAGATATGACAGCAAGATGGATCACTGCCCCCCTCAACCAACCAGGGTGGTTTCTCCTTTTCTGAGAGCTCCTCATTAATCCTTAGCTCTGAAAGAAGAAATTACACAAGGCTGAACAATGGAGCTCTGCAGTACTGGACTGCAGAAAACTCTGCTTAAATATGCTTAAAGCAAATACTTTATATTAAAGAACTTTGCACAGTATTGTAAAGTAAACAGAAATTCAATTAAATATATGTGTATATAGATACATTATTTATTTTATGAGAAAGCTGCATATTGTCTCACCATTGCTTTTTAAGGTTGCATTACAAATATTAAAGTGTCTTGACATTTTAAAGAATGTTTTTGAGTACATTTTATGTAAAACAATTTAGCCAATCTGATTATGAAATAAAAAATGGATGTTTTGTATTTTGGATTTTTTACATTTGAACTTTTTTGCATAGTTACCTATTGGTATCTGTGTATTATTTCTTTTTCTAAACTTAGCTTCCCTGAAGTCTATAAACACTTTTACAATAAAAGCAACAATACTCTGTAAGTTGTAGTTATTTAATAAATATCTGAACAAATAAGTATACAGTAAGCATAATGTTAGGTGCAGAAAATTTAAAAGTGTGCTTTCTGTAAGTTGTAGTTATTTATCTAGTTATATATCTAGTTATTTATTAAATATCTGAACAAATAAGTAAGCATAATGTTAGGTGCAGAAAATTTAAAAGTGTGCTTTACATTTCCACAATATGCTAGGGACCAAGCAAATCAGAAGACCACAAATATATCTCATAAATTTTCAAACCTATTTCATCTAATCTATGGACTTGTTTTGGAACCATCATTTTTGCCCTCCTCCTTGATTTTTATTTCCTACTCATTTTCCCCCTTCTTTTAGTGAATCTTAGAAGTCTTGAAAAGATTATCCATGGTGTCAACAGAGCTGTGGTTTTCTGCTGTATATGAGGTCTTATATAAGTCATCCCTGGGTTTCAGAACATGCCTAACTTTTAAACAATGCCTTTGAGGCTACAGATGTTCTTAAATGGCAAAAACAAGAAGACAGGGACAAATACCTGCCATCAAGGTAGGCTGGTTGGCAAGGGCTGGGCTACATCTGCATTTTAATGCTTTAGAAAGTGAGTCTCTTGAAAAAGAAGGCTGGCCATAATCTGAATGTGGTTTGGGTGCTGTGGTGTTCCTGTAGCCCTGATAAGTAGCTGGTGTCTTTTAGTGCAGAGTACCTGGGATACTGGGAGCTGTGTTGCAGCCCACCAAAGTCATGATGGCACAGGCTAATACTGCAGATCCTGGGGTCTGCTCCAGTGGGTCCCATGGAGGCAGGCAGAGGCTGCAAATGAGGATGCAGTGCCTGGCAGGTGAGAACTGCAGGGCTGAGCTGTCAAGAGAATCAAAACTTAAGGCAGTCTTACCCAAGCTGTTGTTTGGAAGGGTTCTCCAGGCTGGAACACTCCCTAAAGCACACTCAGGTTTTGTCTTGGAGACGGCTGGGGGATGGAAGCAGCCAGGAAGCAGCATGAGTGGCAGGGTGGATGCAGCTGGTATAATGGGAACTGTGTGATCACTGTCAGGCTGTGCTGTGGTCAGTTAAGAGCTGCACTCAAGTTCTGTGTTGGCTTTGGCTCATCCAGGTCCTGCTGGTTTGCAGGCAGTGTTTCCAGCTGAATATAGAGGCAGGGGGTTCAAAGTGGTTTGAGTGCCTGAATAAAGATTAAGCCAATTGAAGTGAATCTCCTAAGAGAATTTCACCCCAGTGAAATAAATTATGTATGTATGCCAAATGATGTTACAAAGATAATGTATTGTTTCCAATGTTTTATTATGTAAGACCAACAAGTTGTTTTGGAAGAGCCTGATAAAAAGCAATTTATGAGAAATGTTGCTTGTTACTGAAAGAAATAGCTACAAGAGAGTTCTAGTCGACAGTTAAGGTTTGGCCAACTTGCAGGCCAATCTAACAATAAAAAGGCTTAAAAAAGTATATGGAAAAAATTGTATGACTAAATTATCAATTTGATGAGAAATTAAACTGATCTTCCTGTATCAGGATTGTAAGCTGAGATATTGCAGTCTCTCCTGGTTTTCTTTACAAAACAGGCCAATCTGCAGTTAAGACTAAACAAGGAACTTTCATTACTTTCTTAAAAATAAAATGTATATACTTCTGTGTACAGGACACAAAATAACAGGTGCTGCAGTGATGCTAATTTGTTGCTGTTTGCTGCAGTTCATCACCAGTTCACTGAAATAAGGACAGCATATTGTGGCAAGCATAGCTGACTTTGCAGATAAGCAACATGTAAAGCTAAAAGATGATAAGGGGAGTCCTCAGAAAGTTTTTGAAGCTCACTTTCAAAATTCCTGGTCCTACTTGAATCTTGCTTAGTTGAAATTTCAACTCATCATGTGCACTACTGTGGAAAGATAGGCAACTTGTCCTCAACAAAACATTAAATGTGTTTAAAATAGCTTCAGTAACAAAAAGTAAGAGATTAGAGGAACTGACTGCAGAATTCTTGTCAAAAAATGAAGAAGGTAGCAGCTGAATTCAAAACAAGCCTCTCCTGCTGTCTTCTCTTTCTTTGTTTTGTGCTTTTAAACTTGGGGAAGAGGGGAGTGGGAGATGTGAGTCCCATCCATCCACTGGAATTTAGGATGTTCTCCTAGAAAGTAGGAATTAAGGCAAATTTCTAATTTGTCTTAAGCCACAGCCCTCCTGTTCTGGGCAAGTGCTGTTTCTGACCAAACATTTTCATTTTGCATCCACTCCTTCCAGTGGATGTCTTTGGAATTCTGGGCACCCATAGCACAAAGAGCACTGAAGTGTTTTTAGTCCTGAGGTACCCAGTGTGCCTTAAGCTGGGTTACTGATCACTGGAAAGAAGTGGTTGAGCTTCCTGATTGTCTTGCTCAAGCTTTGTGGATCGCTGACTGGTTATCACTAATGGTGCAGTGAGCCTGGATAAACCATGGTTGCTCTAGGTTGATCTAAGTGGTTATTTTGGAGAGCTAACTGCAAAACACAACTTTGAAACCTAGGGCACTGCTTTTCTTTCTAATGCTTCTTGTTTCTTCTTTGGCCCAACATATATTAATTAGTTTCTATTAAAATACCATTTCATTTGACTTAACTGAATTTAGTATTGCAGCTTTATCAAGACATATATGAAGTATTTGTTGTAATTTAAGAGTGAATGTAATTATCTACCTCTATAAATATTTCAGGTTGCATGTTATTTTTTCAGGCAAGGCAGTAACATAAAGACCTGTCATAGAGGAGATAAGAAAAGGAGGAAAAGAAAAAAGAGACCAACTTTCTCAGAAGTTATTTGTACAAAGGTAAGATAATTTTCCCTCTAAATTTTATTTTCCCATGCGAAGTGGAGAAAAAAACACCTAACCTACTGGCATTGATTTTCTGTCTCTTAAGTTTCCAGGATAGTCATATAGATGTTATGCATTTACCTGCATTTTCATATTTGTTTGAGTTAACAGTCTGTGATTGATGTCATTTTTTTTTTAATTTCAACTCAAATTTTAACTGAAGGGCATATCAAAATGTGTTAACTAGAAAAGCAGCTAAAAATATTTAATAGTTTCACATAATTGCAGGTAGTCTTAATCATCTCTGATGTTCTTTACTGGTGTCAGGGCAAGTCAACTAGTGAAACAGTGAGTCTGGAAAAATGGACTTAGAAGGAACGTGAAATATTGTACCAAAAAATTGAAAGTTTTTTTCTTCTAGCATAGATCACAAATTTAGTGATTCTTATCCATGAACATTCTGAAATCTTTGCTCAAATGGTTTGGGTTGTAACACCTTTTTCCCAGTCCGCTTTGAACTCCTCCCTGCTCTTGTGTTTGCTTTGTGTAACTCTCTCAGTGTAAGAAGAGATATAGCTTTACTTGAAATGAAGTGAATAGTAGCTGCTGAAGACTCATCAGTGGTTTAGTATCTGATTTTCTTTAAACTAAAAATCTGATTTGGGGATCTCGAGTGTGGTACAGTATGTGGTTCAGTATAACAGAACTCTTATCTTTTACAGTATGTAGTTGTGGATGGTTGTAAAGCATTTTATCCCTCATTTATGTGGTCAAGCAGACAGAGCTCCTGAAAGCATCAGTAATACATTTAAAACAGAGAAGGGAGGAGATGGTCACTGAAGCATTTTGACTTCTGAATTACTTGCTGGCACTATTACTGGAAGTAACATTTACAGCATCTCTCCCTGCAATGAAGATACCTTGTTTGCTTGTTTGTTTTTTACCTCTTCTGAAATGGTTCTTGTGTTAGTCACTCAAGAGTTAAATGCTTCATTGGATAAAGAGAACTGTTACTGTAAGGTTTTTAAACTAGACTGCTCTGGAAAAAAAAAAAGACCATTGAAGACTCTGAAAGGCTTTTTGGATGGTAAACAAGTTAAGGAAGCTCTGAAGTTCTTTGGCTTTGCTACTGGCTGCTCTCACTCACCAGGATCCTGGCACCCTATCACTGTGCCTTCGTTGCCTCCATTGCTCCAGTTCTCCTGTCAGGGAATGCCACCATACAATACATCCCCTGGGGCTAATTGGATGAGTGACAACCAGCCAGCTCCAAAGTGACAAGTGTTTGAATGCCTAATTGGGTCAGTGCACAGGTGCCTGCTCTTCATGAATGAGATGTTCTAGCTTTCCTCTGTGACGTTCTCTTGGTTCCTCTCATTTTTCCTACAGTTGTGAAACAAAATTGTCAATACTTTGATGTGAGAGAAAAGACTTTATCAAAGGAGAAGGATGATTTCCCATTGCCTTGCTTTGGTTAAACTAGCTTTACTGCTTGAGTACTGGCTGGAGGCGACACACAGAAATTCATTAAAGTGACAGAAGTTTGCTGATACAAATGGACATTTCAGTAGACAATAAGGTGAATAATTTGACTGGTAAAGGCCAATATATTTCCTTAATCTCTATATTAGATGGTTCTCATACTGTTTAGACCTATGGGCTTGGGTATCAGAAAAATCATGGGAGAGAAAAAGAACTTATTTTGTTGTAGTTGCACAGTGAGGCTTTTCCTTAGTCAAATAAACAACTTGCCTTCATGTAATGAGGTCAGACAGAGGTAACTGTTTTGTCTAATTGAAGGCTTGGTGTGTGCGTAGAAAATAATGGACGTTTAAGCCCACAGTCTATGTTACTTAGATGAATTTGCCTTCTTTTTGTCCCCTCCACAAAGAACCATAGGATACCTGATTAGAAAGGGTGTCTGGAAGTTGTCTTGTCCAACACCTGTCCTGATCAAGTAAAGCAGTTTGCTGCTTGGACAGCTGTTGAACAACCAGAGAGTAGAAAAGGGTTTTCTTTTGTTTAGGTAGAATTTCATGCATTTTAGTTTGTGCCTATTGCCTTTTACCGTGTTGCTGGGTACCACTGAGAAGTGTTGTTTACTCGTGTTCCTCTCAGGTATTTATACGCATTGATAAGATCTCTTGCAGCCTTCTCCAGGCTGGAGTCTCAGTGCTTTCAGGCTCACCATGTCAGATGCTCCAATCCCTTAATCATCTTGGCAGTCCTACACTGGACTGCATTCTGGGATGTTTATGTTTGCTTGTATTGGGCAGCCCATGAGAGGGCACAGCCCTTCAGGCATGTCTCAGCAGTGCTGAGTGGAGCAGAATGATCTTGATCCTGACCTGCTTACAACATATTTTCCCAATTCAGTACAAGATGCTTTTGGACTTCCCTGCTGCAAGGGTGCCCTGCTGGCTTATGGTCTTGCTTGGAGCCCATGAGGACCCCCAGGTGTTTTTCTGCAAAGCCTCTTTCCAGCTGATCATCCCTCTTCCTGTTCTGCTGCTTGGTGTTATTCCTCCCTAGGTGCAGGACTTTGCATTTCCCTTTGTTGGACTTCATTTAATTCCTGTTGGTTTATGGCTGAGCTTTTCAAGGTTCCTCTGAGAGCAACCAGCTGCTCTGTGAGCTGTTCTTCCCAGTCGGTGTCATCAGGAAACTCGCTGAGAGCGCACTCAGTATCCCATCATCCAGGTCATTAATGAACTAGTTCAATGGAACTGGCCCTAGTACTGATCCCTGGAGTACACCAGCAGACTTTTCTCTAGCTAGACTTCATGCTGATCACAACCCTTTGAGCCCAGCAGTTCAGCCAGATTTCAGTCTATCTCACTGTCCATTTCTGTAGTTTGTACTTTATCAGTTTGTCTATGGGGAATTTATGGGAGACCATGTCAAAAGCCTTGCAGAAGTCAATATAAACAACATCTGCTGCTCTCCTGTCACTCAGAGCCTGCCATTAGCGGGTTTGTTCTGCCCAGAGTGTCTCAGTCCCAGCAGGTGCTGCTGGCAGGGTGGCTCCAGGAAATCAGTGTCTCCCCAGTTGAAGGTTTGTTTAAAACAGAATTCTCACTTTAGCTTTGGCTTACTTGAATGTGTGTTTCTAAAATAATGCTTTTTCTTTGGTATATATTTAAAAGTGTGAAGAGTTATTTAAACATAGTCAAGTTCACACTCTGAGTGGTGTGAAGTCAGCTAGGTAGCTACTGTCAACACTGTTTATACAGCAACTGTTTATGTTCCTCACTGTCCTTACTAATAAAAATACCTGCTGATAGAAGTGGAAAATAAAGAGAAGAAAAGGCTTGACATGGCGTCTCACAGCTGTTTAAGATAAACAGACTAAAAAAAGGGTGCTTTTAATTGCAGGAGACAGAGGAATTGTTTATAATAACAAAAGTGCAATTTTTCAAGTTTACATTATTCCTCATAAAATCTTATTGTGGAAAATGCCCTCATTCTAACAAGGCTGGCATATTGTCTAGTTAAATTTAAGAAACTTGATAGGAGAAATTGTCTGGAAAAGAGAAGCATATTTCAATAATCTGTAGTTTCTTAACATCAGCAAAGAAAGGATGAAGAGAGTTTCATATTCAAGAATCAAAATGTAAGCATTTTACATGACAGAAATTATCCCTAGAGATCAGTGACATTTTTAACAGATTGGAAAATGGAAGGGTCTAGAAAGAGAACCCTTCTGTTTTAATGTATGGAATTTATATATGTGAAAAAATATGTCACAGGGCTTTCATTTATTGTTAAGAAACTGAGATGTTTCATAAATGTGTTTACAGCTAAAAAGAGTTTAAACAGAAGTAGCTGTAACTCATGTAGGGATCACACCCACTTTAGTTCTACTGAAGCCTGCACAAATGTAGTAAGTGTATGGTGTTCGTACAAAACATCAGGTTTTGCTGAGCTTTTTTTCTCACTTCATAGTCTCTGATTTCCTCATATATAGAGTAAATTAAGTGGACCTCTTTAATCACTTGTTCCTTTTTTAGGTGTCTTGCTATGTGTTTTTTTCAATATATTAAAGGAGTGTGTAAGTTGTGAGTTTCCTGAGTTTCTCAGCTACTGATGCATGCTCATTTTACAAGAACTTTAGGTGATGACTTCTGTGGGATAAAAGTGATACTCCTACATCACTGCAAATTTGAGTCTGTTCCTGTGGTAGCTGTGCATGCAACCACTTATGCCATAAAGAACCATTTTATAACTTTTATTTTTACGTAATGTTAAAAGGGGAGGAATGGTAAAGAATATAAAAGAAACATTAAACCAAGTTTTATTCATTTGAAACTTTCTGGGTCACTAACAGCAGCAATTAAAAACACTTTAAATGTTATGAAGTCCATTACATGCTTCTAAATATACAATCAAACATTTTCTGAGTGCATCACTAGTTAGAAAGAGAACCAAAAGCAAGTTGCAAGTACTCTCTGTACAAGAGACAGTACTCTCTGTAGCTGATTTTACTTGAATTACAGACAAGTCCTAGATTACATCTGGTTGTTGCTTAGTTAATGCTTCAATAGCTTGGGTGTATCTTTGTTTTATAAAGAAGCATGGAGGGAAAATAGAGGAGAGGTATTGAAACAGTAAAATGTATAAATCTGACCCAATTTAGATGCAGATACTGTATGACACAAAAGATGAGCTCACAAAATCATTCAGGAAAAGACCATTGGACGGGATTACAGCAAAATGTAGAGGACAAAGGGTAACAGTTCAACATAGAGAGGGATAAATTGTTTTTAAATCACTGTTGGGTTTTAAATCACTATTTTTTATTACTGTCTATAATAAAGGAAGAAAAATATGCAGTTTCTTGTTTTTATCATAGTTATAAAAGAGTTAGAAAATATTGTCAGCATACATAATATTACTGGATAATCTGGATAGATTTATGCATCAGAAAAATGTAACAGATGTAATGAAGGCAGAAAATGTGCATTTTAATATCTGGAGGGCTTCAGCCTTTGCTGAAGGCTGATGTTTTTTGTGGA